CAAACGTAAAGAAGCAAGTGCCTTGCGAGGTGCGAGTCTCGAGACTCTTTGACTGAATATGGAGCCTCTTCGTGAGTCCTAACTAATCAGTCTTTGGGAAGAAGGCAAGAAGACGCAATTTTTCTGAGAGGCGCTCTTGCTGAGGTGATCCCAAGGCGTGCTGAAAAGCTTCGCATGGTTTCCGCACATGTGAAGTAGACAGGCAGCGTGTAAACCCTGTCCAACCGTCACATACATAGCAGGCACCTGTGAGGTTGCGACAGTTGTTGGACTCTACCGCACTCTCAACCAGTCCAAGGACTTTGTTGAGAAGCAGCTGCGATACAGGCTGCGGCAGTGTGTGCATTATGGGGCAGTTGAGGAGCTGTACCATGGGGTTGCGCTCGTCCGTTCTGTCCTAGACTCGGGAGGGTCAAGAGCCATCGATGACCTGTCCTTGGTCAACACGTTAAAGGGCTTCGGGATGATAGGGGCACTCCTCAATGGTTCACAGGTGACAGCCCTCAAGAGAGTCATAGCCAAGGCCAACAGGAGGTGAGTTCTTCGGATGTGAGACGTTTGCAGAGTGCAAGCCTTGGTTATGACTGACCTGAAGCTACTTGTGGACAGTCAACCCAGTCCTGTGCTGCACTTTAGGGTTTCTCTTGCTCGCAACATAGTCAAAACCGGTTTCCTGTTGAGCACCTGAACACGACTGGTCGCAATCCTACAGGTGCATTCTCCTGACCGATGAAGCTGATGCACAACTCGACGCGGGGCAAAGTAGCTACACCAGCGAGGCTGCCAAACAGTTTGTGACCAGCCTTCACCCTGCCCCCATCCTCCGCGTCTCCATCACTGCTACACCGCTGCGCTGCATGCGGTCTGAGAAGAAAGACGTCCCGGTTGACAACGTGGTCATCGCTCGAGCGGGCAGCTTGTACCGGGGCCTCGAGCAACTCGAGCGTCTCAGTGACGATGCTGGGGTCATCACCCTGACAACCGCGATCCGCAAGAAGGACCTGAATGGCCCTCTAAACGACGACGAGAAACGGTTCCTGGCTGCACTGAAGTTGGGTGAGGAAGGCGCGGGGAAGGCGCTGTACCTCAGCTTTGTTAGCACGAGCATCAAAGACCACTCACTGGGCGAGGAAAACATTGTGACAAGGAGTCACATCAGGTATGAAAGCTTCATCATTTGTGAAAGAGATTGTGGAGGTGGCCATCTTAGGGCTTCCCAAGGAATATAGGGTTTGTTTGTTGCTTACCGGGATGGCTAGAACACACAAGCGTGCATAAGCAAGTGGATTTCAACCCCTCCTATAGTAACAAAAGGGGGGTCCCAAACTATCAAAACACTTTTGAAAGTTGCGCTCCATCTGTGTTACGCGCATCCGTCAGACAACCCTCCAAAAATTGGTCAACTTTTCACAAGCTTGTCGCTTGTCTCCTCCAGGAAGACATGGGTTGAGGCCGTCCTTGGGGTTCGGTTAGCAGCCGGCACATACCACGCGGGTAATGCGCTGTACGAAAAGCCTGGGGAGGACGGCCACATGGAGCTGGGACGGGTTTTGCCAGAGGACCTGATCAAGATGCTGCTGACGTTCGACACACACATGGCGATCGAGTGTTCAGTCAACCACGTGGATCGGGTCAACAGCCATGTCGCCAGGGACGACAATGGTGAGGAAGTGTCCCGGTCCGCTTTGGGTGCGCTTGCGCTTCCCACCCAATCAGCTTCGTCTTCGCTCTGCTAGCGGCTTTGTCCTGCCGTCCCTATCCCCAGAGTGTGCTACAGTTGGCTTCTGTCCTCACACCGATCCCTGGACATGCAAGCTTTTTGATAGAACCCGTTGCACAGAGCTCACTCTGTGTTCATATTTGTGCAGGTGACGTCATTCATCCCACCGCGATCATGGTGCAGCTCTCGCCCCACGAGACACTGTGCTCGAGCACTCAAATTGATCTCAACAGGGCTATCCAGATCCTCTCCAGAGCCTGCGGCCATTGGCCGGATAGGAGGCGCATCCCCGTGTTGTGCAGCCCCGAGCTCTGGGAGATGATTAACGCTTACAAGCTGGGGAAGCAGTGGACGGAGGACTACGAAAGCCAGCCCAACTACCTCCAGACCCCAGCCTTTACGAGGCTCGACGAGGTCAGCACGATGGCTCAGGCCGGCTAACTGGAACCTGCCCTGCAATCTGCTCTATCACATGCAAACCAGTTAAGAGTGCTGCCCTCTGGATCGTTGTGGTTGTTGTTGCTACCATTTTGGCCTGGTGAAACACACAACCCACTCCACTTGCAGACCACGCTCACAACAAGGGCAACACCTCTCCGCGTCTCCCTCCCCCGCAACGCTGATGGCACCTTCGTCGACCCTCCCCAAAACTACACCCTCCTGAAGAGTACGAAGAAGCACACCTGGAGGGACAGGGTGAAGTATGTCCGGGACCCGGTCGCGAGCCCTGTCCTCCCGGAAGCTCGAGCTGTTGGCGGAGGGCCGCCGGTGGAGGACGAGAGAGACGGGAGCGCCTCGAGCGACGAGGGCGAGGAGGCCGAGGAGCCGGTGAAAGTGGATGTGGGCGATCGGCCACTGGCGCCCTGGTTGCAGCGGCAGGATCTGACGCTCGAGGAGTTCTACGAGCAGGAGTTCCCAGACGCCCGGCCCTTCACCATGTGCACCGACCCCCCCTATACGGTGGACCTCGCTACCGTCCTTGAGGAGATTGGGACAAAGGGGCCTCAGCTGCTCAAAGCCCTCGAAAACCACGCTGCTGAGCCAGAGCTGGCCGCATCCACATCGGGGGGCTCCTCAAACTGTCAGCATCCATGACCGGGAGCAGAACCGTCCGGCACGCAACGTTCATCACTTCCAGCGGCCCAAAAGGTTACCAGATTCCCTTCATCCTGCACAACAAGTTCCTCGAGTTGCGGGCACTGTACGAGACGGAGACGAAGAAGTTTGTATGCCTGAGGAGCTCGTTCACACAGGAGGAGAGGCAGAACATCACTGAAGCAGGCTACTTTGCCGACATAGGGTTTGCGGCTCCCACAGCAGGAGTCAGCGGGACGAGCTTCATAGCTCGGATGAGGTATATCCAGCAGCACAGCGACGTGTCAAGATTCGGGCACAGGCAGCAGCCAACCAAGCGGAAGCTCCCGTTTGAGTAGATTTGAGACAGTTTTGAGAAGCCTCTGGTGTTTGATTGTAAGGTGTTTTCGGTCTGGATTGCAAACGAGTGCTGATATTCAATTCTTATGCATGTTATGTATCAGCTTTGCGATCGTGCTCACTAGCTCTATATGCTCAAAGTCAGTGCGTCGCAGCAGGTCTTTGACCAGCACTGTCTTTCCCACGGCTCTCACACCGATTATCAAGATGGTCTTGTTCTCGATGGTCGAGGGAGCAAACTTTCTGATAGAAAGCTCCATTCTTTTGTGTCACAAAATCTATTACCGATTCTCAACGCGGCTGACCTGTTTCTAAGCAGAGGAAAGTACATTCTGATTTCAGGAAGCTTTGCTCGCTCGTATGTTTGTCAGAGATTACGGGTCACTCTGGTCACTCTCGGAAATGTCCGAGTCGGGATCTTGCAATTTTTGCGAAAGAGTAGCTTCGATCTTCGCAAGGATGAAGGGGACATATTCATCACTATGCAAGAGTCTGATGATTTTCCGAAAGATTCTTTCGGACAAGCCACCATCGTCATACATATCCAAGTCAGCGTCCCGTACAAACTGTTCGAATCGTTTCAAGAGACTGGTATCGACGACTCCAGATTTCAACAATTGATCCACTATTATGATGAGTATGTCCGCTAGAGCGTATGAATCGGAACATAAATGTCGTTTGGTTTGAGTATGTAATGCTCCTAGATCCATCAGTATCGATGCATGACATTTTATATTACGCGACGAGGACGCACCTAGTTTTGATGCACAATAGGGTATTCTGCGATCGCAAGCGTCATCATATCCATTTTCGAACAAAAATGTAGGCGTCTGGCGGTAGATGCGTCAACACGGCAACATTTTCTTTCTTTATGAATCCATAATCATCATGATTTCGTGTCCAAAGTGCTCGAGTGGTCTCGTCCAAGAAGGGTCGAAAAATAATCGATGCATCGCTTGTGATCACAAGTGGAAGCTGAAGTATTCTATGACTTTCAAGTGTTCAGGTTGTTCGTATTCTGGGCCTCTACCGGGCACGTGGATGCGTCTATACAAAGATGGGAGAACAGATTGGTTTTCGTGCACCACGTGTGGTATGCACAACAACGGAGACTCAATCAGTAGTAAAGTCGAGCTCGAGGATGTCTGATTGTTTGCGGCAGAGAACTGAAGACGCTACCAGAACGCGTCGATATAGGGCGAACAGATTCCTCGGGATACAACAGAGAGAATATGGCGTCTTCTCGGTTAGCAGCTCGTCTCCAGACTATCCAGGCAGCGGTCCTACCGCCCCCTGCAGAAAGACAGTATCTGCATCAGTTATGCATGTTTTGTAATGTTTGATGGCCAATTGTCAAGTTAGTACCGATTGGTCAGATTATAAGCTAGGGGCCAATGATCGGCTTCAAAGTGACTTTCCATCATGTTGCAACCGTTGGCTTCGCTGCTCAGTTAGAACATCCTGAGCAGCACTGCCAAGTGTCCGTGCCAAACTGTAACGGTATCTCATGTATGTGCCATGCGAATTACAGACAATGAGTCGCACGGTATCAACGCTCAGCATGCTTGCATCATCCGGATACCATCCTACACTGCCGTAGGTTGAAGTGGTCCTGCGCGTTTTTATCTTAACTCAAAGAAAGACAAAGATGCCGTCCCTAGCCAGAGCGTATAGACCGTCCCTTCACATGACGAAGACGAAGAAGACCGGGTCGTCACGTGCCCTTGTTCGCCAGCCCCGCCGCCACATCCACTCGACGACTGATGCAGTGGAACGTTTGAGGGACGGCCAGCTCAGGCGACTTGCCAGAATGGCCGGTGTGGTGCGCATCAACGGTGAGCTCTATGATGCAGTGCGCGGCTGGATCAGGAGGATTGTTGAGCGCTTTGTCAAGGACGCCGTCATCTACACCGAGTACCTTCGTCACAAGATCATTACCAGGGACGACATGCTCAATGCCTGGCAACGCAACTTTGGCCAGATGTACGGCGCAACCGTTGCTGCCAAAAAGCACTGCCGCCTGTTCAAGAAGAGGTCCGAGGGCGGACGCCCTGCCCGTCCGGGTCGACGCGCCTTGCAGGAGGTCAGGCATTACCAGAAGCAGGCGGACTGCCTGCACTTTTTCTTCTCCGCGTTTTCCGACCTACTGCGCTCTGTGGCACATGATTAACGTTGCGCAAGATAGGGGCATCAAGCTATCCAAGGATGCGGTCACGGTTGCGCAGGTTTGTGTAGAGGCTCTGGTCGTGCACTTGCTTGCCATGGGCCAGCTGGCTGCTATTCATGACAGCGAGCGCAAAACTCTACAACCGAAGGATCTGGCACTCGTCCGCACCTTCTTGGATCAATCCCTAGCTCACTGCCCCACCAACACCATGCCCACTCTGTAGGCTTTCCCGAACCTCACTGCCTCGAAACATTCTGCCGATAAGCATTTGAGTCGCCTATATTTCCCGGCGGAGAGAATTTTGCGACATACAAATATGCCCCGCCGTCCATCTGGGTCACACCTGCCCCAATCTTTCTGGTATTCTTCCACACAATCTGCGTGCCATGGCCGGTCTTGTTGTTGAATCCAGGCCGCTCGTAATCGTAGAGGTCCATCTCTTTTGCCCACCAGTCTATTGCGGTGCGCATGTCCGGCTCGAAGCTCCACACTTTTGCCAGGTTCTCCCCGTACTGTCGATCGGTTGAGTGAACAAACTGCTTCCGATTCGCCCAGTCCTGAGCGCACCTGGCAAGTGCGTCGTCCCAAACAAGGGCGGGCGCCCCGTGCCTGCGTCTGATATCATTGATGCGTGCAAGTACTTGTGCCTGATTCAGTGACATGCTCGGTACAATCCGCAAAGGTTTTGTTTAGGGCTGCTTAGTTGCACTTGCAAGTGCAGCTCTTCAGTTCATATGAGTTGTAGCAGACCTGCAAGGGGTCTTCTGTCGGTGCTGGGCCCGGCGCCATTGCGGGCGAGCTAGTAGGCTCGTCACATGGTGCTTGAGCGGGGGCTGGGCTTGGAGCGTCAATCGGTAGATTTTCGGGCGGAGGGGATGGTTGGACTGTTGGGGCTGGTGCAATTGGTTGCGGAGCGGGCGCCATGGGCTGCGGAGCAGGCGCGTCCGTTGTGTTGTCACAGGGGGCATCCGTCTGTGTTGGAGTTGGGGTGGGAGACTCTGTTGGGGTTGGAGTGGGGGCTTCGGTGGGGGCTTCAGTTGGTGTGGGTGTTGGACTCTCGGTTGGAGGTGGCGGAGGGGGGTTTGGTGGCGGATTTGGTGGCGGGTTCGGCGGTGTGGGTGTTGGACTCTCGGTTGGAGGTGGCGGAGGGCTCTGTGTCTCTGTTGGCTGGGGTGGGGGAGAGCTCTGTGTTGTCACTGGAGGCGGGTAATTGTACGAGATCGGAAGTGATTCCGGGCTAGGGGTTTGAGTGACGTTGTGGCAGGTGTGATTTGCACACAAGAGAGACCTTCGCGAGATGCTTGCAGCAGAGGCAGAAGTGGTCAGCATGGCAAGCACCAAGAACGGGGCTACCCACATAGCCCTCATAGCTGTTACCATGGTTCTCGGAAAAAATTCATGGCAAACCAACCGAAGCATCTGATTTTGTTCACAAAGTGTATGCAAGCATGTTTCTTTACTACTGCCTGATCGCTCTGCTGGTGCTTGGCCTCTTGATTGACTTCAAAGCTGTTGAGCAGTTCACTCCATGGGCCGAAGTGAATCCAAGACTTTTTCAAAGATACATGGCATCACCAGGCGTCTGAGCAGCACAGAATCATTGCTTAGGAACTTGCAGGACCCCAAGAAGCATCAATCCAACATGGCTTCTCCAGTCGTGCAAAAGTCGTACGTGTGCAATCATGAAGATTGTGGTGCAGAGTACACGAGAAGTAGCAACCTTGCTCGACACAAACGAAAGCATACGGATGAAAAGCAGTTTGTGTGCTCCCACCTTAACTGTGATGCTGCTTACACAAGGGTTGACGCCTTGAGATCTCACCAATGTACGCACTCAGATGAGAGGAACTTCGTGTGTTCTGAAGCGGATTGTGGCGCTGCCTTCAAGACAAGCAATCATCTTGTACGACACGAACTTGCACACACCGATAAATCACTGTCGAAATGCGCTTATCCAGGTTGTGGTGCCCTGTTGAAGAGAGGAGATACTCTTCTTCGGCACGAACGTACACATAATGATGAGAAGGCTCTCAAGTGCTCCTACTACATGGGCTGCAACGCTGCTTTTGCGAGGCGAGACACTCTCACCTTACACGAACGGACGCATTCGGGCATAAAGCCATTCGCATGCAGCGAAGCTGGCTGCGATGAAGCATTTTCAAGGAGCGACGCCCTAAAGACACACGTCTTCTATTACCACACGGAAAAAGGCCAGCAGCGTCGGAAGCGCGAGGAGGAGCGGATTGCCAAGCTTCTCACGACGGCCGGACTCCCTTTCAAGCGCGAGCATCATGTGACCTTTGACTGCTTGGGGGGCTCGTTCGCGCGTATCGACTTCATCCTCGACCACAAAGGGAAGATCATTGTGATTGAGGTTGACGAGTACCAGCACGAAGGCTACGGAGTGGCTTGCGATGTGGCACGAATGCTGCAGATCTACGAGGCGTGGGCCATCGAAGGCAACTCACTGCCCGTGCACATCATTCGCTACAACCCTCATACGTTCCAGATTGATGGGAAGCGAGCAGCGGTCACACGCAAGATTCGAGAGGCACGTCTGCTCGAAGCCATCAATGAGGCAGCAGAGATGGAGTCAGAAGGTCTGCACATTCAATACATGTACTACGATCTGAAGGATGGCAAGCCAGCAATAATGGAGGATGAGGCATTTACCATTACAGACTGTTGCCTGGACGCAATTGTGTGATGTGATCTGCTACACTTGTACAGTCAGTACAGTACAGCTTAAGTTTGAAAGGGTGCGGAATCTCTAATCAATATCACGGGCTTCCTATAACCAGTGTCCACAAATTTCCTCAACATACGAGTAAGTGATGCAGTGTGCTTGCAGAACGAAACGGGGGCGACGCTGCTCCCTCCCCGCCAAAGCTAATTCCCGCTACTGTCGTCTCCACCATTTCTGTCATCAGAACGGTGCTGAGTCTCACGTTCCTGACGTAGCGCAGTGCATGTGCGTGGTCCAGACCGGTCACAGACAGTGTTCACGTGTAGCAGAGCCTGGCAGCACTCTCTGCTGGCAGCACAGATATTGCAGTAAGATCTTTCGAGGACAGACAAGACCCCGATCGGGCAGGAGAAGCGGTGTGGGCACACAGACAGGAAGATTCAACAGAGGCACGCAGGTCGGAGGGGTCAACGTGGGCACACAGACAGGAAGATTCAACAGAGGCACCCAGGTCGGTGGAGCCAACACGGGCACACAGGTAGGAAGATTCAACAGAGGCACACAGGTTGGGGGGACCAACATGGGCGGAGGTACTGATGTTGGCACCGGCACGAATTCAATCACGCGTCCTGTAGTGAGCAGAGGGACGAGCGGACCCCGTCAAGTGACATTTGCAAGTACCGGCGTAGGCCCGAATGCAGGTCCGAATCGCGCGAGCTTTGGCACGAATGCACGCCCACTTCCAACCTTTGCAAGCACTGCAGCTGGCTCAGATGCAGCGCGGAGCCGTGGAACGAGTGCACGCCCTCTCCCAAACTTTGCAAACAAGGCAGCAGGTCCAAATGCACGCCCGCCACGTGCAAACATGGGGACGGCTACCAATGTGGATGATGCTTGTGCCCTCCTCGCTCGAAGCATGCCATGTACGGACATCCTCAGGGTCCTTGGTATATGGGAACCGAGTCTGACAGAGAGTGAAGCAAGGTCTCGTTTTGAAAGCTGGGTTCAACAGTACACTGCCAGGTACGGTCAAACAGAGCTTCTGCGGAGAGTGAATGATTGCTTCCAGAGCGTTCGAGACAATGCATGGATTAACGCAGACGGAGGTCTGCTCAACGAGGAGGCTGATTTCGCCGAAGAAGACCCCCTTGCAGGTCTCGATCAGCCGAGGCGCCGGTACCACGGCCGGGCAAGGAGTGGGAACCAAGTTGCACCAAGGAGGGCGTTTGTTGGAAGCGGTCAAGGTGCTAGGCGGGAGGGGCTTTCTGCAGAGCTTCGGAGAATCAAGAAGGAAAGGGAACTTGAGGCTGAGATGAGTGAGTCTGAGGACTGTGAAAAGTTGCTTTTAAAGCACATTTTCAGGCGAACACGAGCTGAGACTAAGAAAGCATGGATAAAATTCTCCCTACAATTCCATCCAGACAAGAATCCGGAACTGAACGCGAGGTTTGGAGTTTACTTCAGAAAGGTCAAGGACTGCTAGTATGACAGATTCAAGGAAGAAACGTCCCATTGGGACGATGCACAGTGGGCAGCAGTTTACGACCACTACACAGCACACGTCCCATCCGGCCCTTCTCCTTCCATTCCAGACCCCAGTCCTGGCCCAATTCCTGACCCAGTGATTCCGGATGACCCAATGCACGTCGACCCAATTCCTGCCCTAGAGGTCCCCAATGACCCAATGCAGGTCGACCCACAGGTGAGGGACAGGCGCAGAGCAGCTCCGCACGCTTTTCCAGACTATTGGGATATTGCAAACCGCTTGCCTGGCGCCAAAAGAAGTAGACGGGACGGTGCTGGGTCTTCCTAACAGAACCGTGCTCATACTGGTAGGGCTTGAAGCGCCCCACAAAGGATTCCTAGGGGTGGCCGCTCTTCACAGAATGTGAGCATGTACGGCAACGCTTTAGCAGATACTCTGGCACATGCGCATGCAAGGGCAGTGATGAACAGATGGTCCCGTCAAAGACAACCCAAGCAGAAAACGGGCCCCCCACTCGAACCAAACGTCAGTCTGCCCAGCAGTAAAAGACTTCGAGACGGTGTTGCCCCAAGCGTCCCTCGAAGGAGCGGAAGGACAAGAAGGCCCCCGGTTCAGTATGCAACCGGCGTTTACCCGCCACGGGGTGGCCGCTCTTCACTGAATGTGAGCATGTACGGCAACGCTTTAGCAGATACTCTGGCAGATGCGCATGCAAGGGCAGTGATGAACAGATGGTCCCGTCAAAGACACGAGCAAGCCGAGCGAAACCGGGCCGACCACAACAGAGTCTGGCAAGAAGCGCTTCGGCGGCACGAGATGAGGAGGCAGGAGCTTCAGAGCAGGAAGAGAAAGACAGATGCTGGCGGGTCCAGTCCTCACAGGACCAAACGGACAAAAGGGAACGAGGCTGACCAGAGACAATCTGCCCGGGTCAGGTGGCAGCCCAACCAGTTGTCTTACAACCGTCTTGGACAGCAAAGGAGCGCGCGTACGAAAGCACAACGGATGGTCCCCAAGCGCCCCAAGAAAACCGCTAAGAACACGCCTGGACTCTCCGGAGAGACAGCGGCGAGACAGCAGTCCGCGAA